ATATTTTTTCGAATTATTTTTTTTCATATTTTTTGGTCAATTTATAAGAAGTACACACGCTCCAAGTTTCAGATCATTCTGATTAGTAAAAATAAATAAAAATTGAAACAATACCGGACAATTGTGACTGTGCGATAAAGTTTTAATGGTGTTGAGGGTAAGCGAAATGACTGTTCATTTTCGCCTACAGGATAATCTAAACTTTAGCACCTTTCAAATTACAAAGGTTAAAGATAGAGAGTTGTGAAGGGTGTATTTATTAATTTTTTAGTTTATTTTTTATAAAAAGTTACTTCTGTGTGAGGGCAATTTTGTAAATATTACTATACAACAAGGGGTACTTTTGTCATCTGCATAAAAGGTAAAGTTGAAATTTTTACTAAAAGACAAGGGCGCTCTACAAATAAAATTTCAGGACACTAACCTCTAAAATGCCATTCTATTTTTGTAAAAATTTCAAATTTTCTCTTGCGTAATAGTTGAGTTATCTATAAAAACAGTTTTTAAATAAAAAAGTAATCATCTTTTTTATATATACACCCATCACAATCCCTTCTAACTTTAACCTTTGTATTTGGAGTGGTTGTTAACTCTAGACAAACCCATATATATATGAGCAATGATCCAATGCAATAATTATATCGTAGTATAATGCAACGACACTTCTAGAAAACCATGTTTGTGGTATTTGTATGATCTTAAAATTTTCACAGACACTCTCTTCATCTCAATAATCAATCCCCCAAAAGAAAAAGTTCAATTTGAACCCTAGATATGGTCAAAATGAGTCCCCTCCAAAAACAAATCTAGACCTTTCATTTTGTGAATTTCAATATCATAGCCTTTATAAAATCAAAATCATTTTTTTCTTTTTAACATTGTTCATCTAATAATAATAAAGGCATCCAAAAAATTTGGAAATGAAAACATCCTTCTAAGGCCTAGATCTAAGCATCTCACAAAAATGAACGGTCTATGTTTATTGGGTTAAAAAAATACTTTTTAGGTTTTGTTTTCAAATTTTTCTTTTTTTGTAATTGTTGATTAGAATGAAAGAGTGTATACAACGGTTGCATGAAATCATTGCCCTATATATATATATATATATATATATATATATATATGCTTTCTATCATGGCAAAGATTAAGAAAGTTGTTTTGGTCATGAATACTTATTTTTATATTTTTAGAGTATTTTGAAAATACTCCCAATAAGAAATGGATTTTTTAAAACTTATTTATTTACTAAGTTTTTAACATTTTATTTTGATGTGGTTTTCTTAATCTTACTTTAAACATACAGTTCCTTTTTTTCTTTTCTTTTTTGGACTTTTTCTGTTTTTTATTAATTTTTTTAACTTATTTTTGCAGCTATGGTGCTCAGTCCTCGAGCCAAGTTACTTGAACTTAGGCCAAGTACTCATTCATATCAGGCATGAGCCGAGTACTCAGCCTGAGTAGTGGTTTTGAATATTGATAATGATATACCGGTGCGGCCTCCATAGGGCTAGATTTTATGATATTTTGTAAAATTGCACCCCAAAATACTACTGGAAAATGCAAATTCCATGCTAGAAAACATTATGATGGTCTGCAAATCTATTGGTCACCCTTGATTATGTAATTATTATTATTTGAACATTAGCCCTTGGCTAAAGAATTTGATGCATAAAAAATATTACAGATCGTAGATCTATGAACATTTAAAATAGATGGTGTGGAAAATGTTGGAATGTTCTAGGACTTGAAATTTCGTTTCTTTTCTTTTCTGTTTTTCTTCAAGATCCATAATTGTCGAGGTTGAATGATACAGATATGAGTTTTTCTAGTGAGGGACCTGCTGCTGTATCATAGTTTTAAGATGGCGACAACCCGGCACTAGCCCCTCCATAACAATAATGGGCGGCGGAAGGTGATATTTCATGTAAGGAAAAAGTTTATGTAGTGCCGAGGCTCTAAACAAATTTTATTAGAACCCACTTCAAAAAATTTATTAGAAGAGGTTGTTTTGACGTCCAAATATCTTCAAATTGATGATCT